AGCCTGTGAGGGAGATAAAGGAACTGAATAACAAAATAAAACGAATCCTGATTTTTATTTTTCCCCATTTTTTTAATTTATTTTTTAAATTTTTTATTAGTGAATCACCATGAGGTAGAGTTAAAGACTTACAAACTTTCGTGCTTGCACTTCAGTCATACAATGGTCGAGTACCCAATCCTCCACCAGTGCCCATTTCCCACCACCAATGGTCTGAGCCTCCATCCCGCAACCCCTACCCTGTCCCCTCCAACCTACCCCTCCTCTGTGGCAGGGTATTCCCTTTTGCTCTCTCTCTCCTTCTGGGTATTGTGATTTCAGTAGAGGTATTAAGTGCCATCATGTTTGGTCTATAATCTACTTTCAGCCCGCATCTTCCATCCTGAGCGGGCCCTCCTTAGCATCCTTTACTTGGTGGTCTCTTCTCTATCTGAGCTGCCTTTTCCCCCAGCATGCAAGGCCGGCTTCTAAGCTGTGGAGTAATCCTCCCAGTACTTATTTCTACTGTTCTTGGGTGTTAGTCTCCCATTCTGTTACTTGATGTTCCACAAATGACTGCATTCTTTCTATGTCTGTCCCTCTCTTTCTGACTCATTTCACTTAACATGATACTTTCCATGTTGATCCACCTACATGCAAATTTCATGACTTCATCTTTTCTGACAGCTGCAAAGTATCCCATTGTGTAGATGTACCAAAGTTTCCTTAACCAGTCATCTGTTCTTGGAAAACAGTATAGATGCTTCTCAAAAAATCAGAAATTGAGCTCCCATTTGACCCAGCAATACCACTTCTGGGAATATATCCCAGAGATGCAAAAAAGTATGGTAGCAAGAGTATTTTTTTAATGAAGAAAGAGAACCCAGAGAGATAGCTGAGAGGTTCAGGTGCTTGGTTTGCATATGGCCAACCATAGTTGAATCCCCAGCATAATATATGGTCCTCCAAGCATGACCAGAAGTGATCCTTGAGCAGAGTCAGGCATAAATCCTGAGCAATGCTGGGTGTGGCCCAGCTGAACCCTCTCCCGCTAAAACAAAAATCAAGAAAGATCACAATGTACCATCTCAAAAGAATAGATGGAAAGAAAGCCAGCACTGCCATATTTTTAAGAGATGCAAATACGGCTGTCATCAAGTTCTTCCCTGTCATATGCAAAAAAGCCACTCTTCCATTGGAATAAAACTTCTTGGCATCTGAAATCTGAGCTGGCCCCCGATTTGTGAGCAATCCTGTGGTTAATCTGAACAACATATGTGACGGAAATGGTGCACTAACATTTAAATCCAGATTTAGGAGGCTAGTAACTAATGCTCTTTCCTGTTGGAATGCTCTTAGACTACAACTGTATCACTGTATCACTGTCATCCCATCAATTTACTCTATAAATATGTCTAAAAGACAACACAGAAAACACAGAATGAAGGAAAACTCTGGAGCTCTTCACATACACCCTCAGCTGTGCTCCTAGTAAACATCCAAAAACTCCCAGTCATAAATGTGAGAATGGATCAAATCTTCTGGTTTTTCTAGCAATCCTGTCTACAACACAATACAAAAGAACCATCTTATCAACCCAAGGAACTGGAGAAGTTATAAATTGTAATAGTTTTAAACCATTAAAGTTTGCATAAATTGTTATAATAAAATTAGTTACAAAACAATATAAAAAGCCCTGATAACTTGGTTTCAGAGAAGCAATTTCAGGAGAATGATAAGCCCAACTAAATAATGAATGGAAAGGTTCAAGGAGAAAAAGCAAAGTGACAAACCTATACAAAGAAAACTAAAAAACACTACTTCAAGAAATAAAAGAGGACAGTAGGAAATGGAGACACATGCCCTGCTCATGGATCAGGAGGATTAACATTGTCAATATGGTAATATTCTCAAAGTATTAAACAGATTCAAAGTGGTCCCTATAAGGATACCCATGACATTTTTCAACAAAATAGACAAAACATTCCTGAAATTCATAGGAGCAATAACGCCCCACGAATAGCTAAAGAAAAAGAAGATGGGTGGCATCATCATCCCCAACTTCAAACTTAGTACAATGCAGTAGTAATTAAAACAGCATGTTACTGGTTTAGAAACGGACCCACAGACCAAGGCACAGACCAGAAGAGCAGAGTTGAATATTCTGACACAGACTCTCAAGTATATGATCACTTTATCTTTGATAAAGGAGCAAGAAATGTGAAGTGGAGCAAGGAAAGCCTCTTCAACAAGTGGTGCTGGGGAAAATAGACAGCTACATGCAAAATAAATGAACTCCGACCTCTAAAGCCAAGCATAAAAGTCAGATCAAAATGGATTAAATACCTCAGTATTAGATCTGAATCTATAAGGTACATGGAGGAAAATGTATGCAGAACCCTCCATGATATTTAAGCTAAAGGTATCTTTAAGGATGAAACATCACTGACCAAGCAAATGGAAACAAATAGGACTACAATAAACTAAGAAGTTTCTGCACCTCAAAAGAAACAGTGACCAAAATACAGAGAGAGCCCATGGAATGGGAAAAATTATTTATCCAATATCCATCAGAGAGGGGCTTAATATCCAGGATAAAAAAGACACTGATAGTACTTTACAAGAAAAAAACTTCCATCACATCAAAAAAATGGGGAGAAGACATGAACAGAAACTTCCTTGAAAAAGAAATGGTCAAAAGGCACATGAAAAAATGCTCTACATCGAAAATTGTCAAGGAGATGCAAATCAAAACAATGAGATATCATCTTACATCACAGAAATTGGCACACATCAAAAAGAACAACCAGTGCTGGCTCTGATGCAGGGAGAAAGGAACCGTCATTCATTGTTGATGGGAATGCCAACTGGTTCAGACTTTTTGGAAAACAATATGAACATTCCTCCATAAACTAGAAATTGAGCTCCCATATCACCCAGCAATACCTCTGGGAATATATCCTGGGGATGCAAAAAAGCACAGTAGAAATGACATCTGCACTTATATATATTTATTGCAGCACCATTCACAATAGCGAGAATCTGGAAACAACCCAAGTGCCTGAGAACAGACGACTGGTTAAAGAAACTTTGGTACATCTATACAATGGAATGCTATGCAGCTGTTAGAAAAGATGAAGTCATGAAATTTACTTTTAAGTGGATGGACATGGAGAGTACCATGCCAAGTGAAATGAATCAGAGAGGGACAAAGAATGACTGTACTCATTTGTGGAATATAAAATAACATGAGACTAACACCCTAGGACAGTAGAGACAAGGGCCAGAAGGATCGCCCCATGTTTGAAAGAATGCCTCATGTGCTGGGGGAAAAGACAGTTGGAATGGAGAAGAGACCACTAAGTCAATGATGGTTGGAGGGATTGCTTGGGATGGGAGATCTGTGCTGAAAGTCAACAAAGGACCAAACATGATGGCCTCTCAGTATCTATATTGCAAACCATAATGCCCAAAGGTAGACAGAGAGTAAGAAGGAAGGTGCCTGCCACAGAGCAGGGAGTGGGATGGGGTGGGAATGGCAGGAGGGATTCTGATGGTGGAAAATGCACACTGGTGGAGATATGGGTGTTCAGATATGGTTACTGGGCCCGCCCGAGCAAGTCGATGAGCAACAGGAGGACAGTGACAGTGAATGTGACTCAGTAAGAATAAATTTTATCTCCAAATTGACAAAATAGTACCAAAATTATTAACTCACACATAAAAACATGAAAGAACATTAATATTCATATAAAAAGGAAATATATACTTAAAAAAAGCACTGACTTTCTTATATTTATATGTATGTATATGTGTGTATGTATATATATATATATGTGTGTGTGTGGAGATATATATATATATATTATATATGCATGAGGGAGAGGGTTGTCCTCCCACATGATGCTCAGGAGGTCCAGGGCCACTTCCAGCACTCTCAATACACCTTTGAATGTGAGCCATTTAATGTGAACCTTTTTATGTAAGGGATCTATGTTATTCAGTTTCTGAAGTGCCTAGGAATACAAAGGCCACCCCAGCAGTGCTCAAGGGTCTCCAAAGCTCAGCCTCGTGATGCACAAGGGACCAATTGGTGCCAGGGAACAAACTGGGATCACCTGCATAAAAAGCAAGCCTCTGTACTAATCCTCTGGCCACTCTCATATATTTTACGATATTAAAATATCCTTATTTTACACTTCTAAATTATCAACCAAAGTTATGTGGTCCGATTTTCCTTTATTTGGTGTTGTTTCACTAAATGCACATTATCCAGCCAACAAGAGCCTTTTTCTCTAAGAAAAGAATGAAAGGGTCAGGGATGTGGTTCAGGCAGCAGGGTACATGCTTACATGTATAAGGCCCTGGGTTCAATCCTAGCACCACATAAGCCATGGTCCACTGAGTATGGCCCCAGAAACCCTGGGTGTGGCTTAAAGAAAAAAAAATGAAAAATGTTTATACATAAAATGAAATCAAGTTTTCTTCCTTGGTGAGGATATAAAATTTTTTTAAAAAATATGACCAATGGCAGAAAATAAGCATTATATTGTTGAATATTATTCTGAGTAATTATAGTTTAATTCTTAATACGGTCAGGCAAAATTGCAAAGGAGCAAAATATGCATGTGTGTTTACACTAATGGTTAGAATTATTTTTTAATGATTACCAAATTTCAATTATTGGCTAAATTTATTATTCTAACAATTTATTAAAACAAATTTCCAAATAAAGCATGAATTAAGCAGAATTTGCTAAATATTTTAACCTCTCTTGATAACGTAAGTTTCACTAAAAACATAAACATTGTAATGTTTGTTTAAACATAAACAAAAACATTACTACACGAGTAAGTGGTGATATAATTTCTAGCCAAAATTATCATTTTTTGTGGTAAAGAAATAAATATTTAAATTAAATACTACAAAAAAACTTACAAATTTTACAAATGAATTCTTCGTGATTAAACAATACAACATATGTCTGTAACACTACACACTGCAGAACAATTATACTCTACCGCTTTGAAGCAAGATTAGCCTCTCCTCCATGACCATCATCATGAACTGCCTCATAGTGTTTGAAAAGTTCATCAGCTGATCCATGAGATTTCATACATTGAGGACATATGAAGCCCTGCAGAAAGAGGCAAAATCAAGATTTCAGAATACTGCAAAATAACAATTAGTATGTTATAAAATAAAATCCAAGATCTTATTGACACTAATAGTACCATTAACTAAGTCATAATTTATGGTGTTAACTCTAAATTCTGGGGCCAGAGAGATACTACAGGAATAAAGATACTTGCCTTACATCCTGCTGAACCTAGTTCAAATCTGCATCATCACATATGGTCGGGGGAAGGTCACTCCTAAGCATGGAACCAAGAATAATTTCTGGAAACTGCTAGGTGTGGCCCAAAAACCAAAAATAAAAAAATCTAAACACTGATATTATGTCTCTCTATTATAGTAAAAGTTAACAAAATATAGGTGAAGCCAGAGATAGGGTTACTTTGCATCCTTGGTACACACACTGTATTTGGTCCCCTAAGCACCAACATGAGTGACCCCTAATATGGAATCAGGGGCAAGCCCTGAGCACTGCTAATAGAAGTTTATGAAATATAACAAGCTTTACAACCATCTTTTAGGTTAAATAAATTAAAAATGGCAAAAATTCTTATCTAAGAAGTTATTTTAATCTAGAAGACTAGTTGAGGTTTGTTGAGAAAAGAGAAGCCTTTCTCTCTCTCGATTATCTCTCTAGTAATTATTAAGATAATATCTATTACAATCTACTTCATTGAAATAACAAAGGATTAAGAACATATTTTGGAGAGAGAACAGGGGGGAATGCCCTGCCACAGTGGCAGGGGGGGATGGGGGATGGGAGGATGGGGGGGAGGGATATTATCCTGGTGGTGGAAAATGGGCACTGGTGGAGGGATGGGTATTTGATCGGGGTATGACCGAGATCCAAGCACAAAAATTTGTAAATCTACAACTGTACCTCATGTCGTTTCACTAATAAAAAAGAAAAAAAAATTAAATCAAAAAAAAAAAAAAGAACATATTTTGATGACTAAAAAGGCAATGTATTAAATAACTCATCAGCTACAAATTTCCTTACCTAAGATTAACACCACAAAAAATAAAATTAATGTACACTCTAGTGAAGTATTAAAACGAATAATTCCAGTGTTTTTATATATGGCATTGGGCTGGAGCGATAGCACAGCGGGTAGGGCGTTCGCCTTACAAGCGGCCAACATGGCCGACCCGAGTTCGATTCCTCCGCCCCTCTCGGAGAGCCCGGCAAGCTACCGAGAGTATTCGATATGCCAGACACAGTAACAACAAAGTCTCCAATGGAGACGTTACTGGGCCCGCTCGAGCAAATCGACGATCAACGGGAGGGCCTTTTAAATTTTATATATGGCATAAAGTCCTGGTTTCTAGAAACTTCTCTGTACATATGCTTCAACAATACTAAAATGCCTATGCTTCCTTTAAGACATCACGGAATCTCTTATTAACGTGCATTTGCATCACTTGATCACTTGACATCCCCTAATTTATCGATTCGCTCGAGCAGGCGCCAGTAATGTCTCCATTCATCCCTGTCGCGTGCTAACATAGTCCAATGGCATCTGCTCATTCTAGGAACACGAAGAGCCTCAACTCAATTGTTCAGGGTCTTGATGAAGAAGTTTGACCACCTCATAGGTGGGCAGCCACGTGATCTTTTGACGTCCCATGGAATCCAGTCAGTAATGACTCTAGTCCAGCAGTCATCTCCAAATCTCATTACATGTCCAGCCCATCTGATTTTTGACGCCTTGGCAAATGAGACAGTGTCCCTTATTCTTGACCATCGACAAAGGTCAGAACTTTGAATTTTTTCTCTCATTTGAGTGAAGCGTGATACTCCAAGCATAGCTCTTTGGATTCCTCTTTGGGAGACCCCAATAGCATTCTCATCATGTTTGTGTAGGGCCCAGGTCTTGAGGCCTATGTTAATGCAGGAAGAACAGTAGAACTGAAGAGATGTGCCCAGTGCCGGAGGTTCTTTGTCCTCTTAGCTATTTCTTCGATGTTCTTGAAGGCGTTCCAAGCCACTCTCTTTCTCCTGTGAAACTCAGGTGCCAGATCATTAGTCATGTTCACTTCTCAACCTAGGTACACATAACTATTGCATTCGGAGATGTTCATCCCATTGAGAGTGAATGGAACATCAGGAACGAGACCATTTCTCATAAACATTGTCTTCGTTAGATTCAGCTGTAGTCCGACCCTTCCACACTCACAGTCGAAGTAGGCTAGCATTTGTGCCACTTGGGTGAAGCTTGGTATTATAAGAATGATGTCATCAGCGAAGCAGAGGTGGTGTAGTTGCCGACCGTCTATCTTCACTCCCATTCCTTCCCATTCCAGTCATTGCATGACGTTCTCGAGGGTGGCACTGAAGAATTTCAGTGAAATAGTCCCACCCTGCTGAATCTCTCTCTTCACATCAATAATCACCTCCCTGTAGAATGGTGAGATACTGGTAGTGAATCAACAAAACAGTTCACGGAGGATCCTGATGCATTGACTTTGAACGCCCTGTTTGGCTAGGGCCTTGATGACCACCTCAGTCTCAACAGAATCAAAGGCCTTCTTTAAATCAATGAACGTTAGACAGAGTGGCATCTTGAACTCCCGAGAAACCTCAATGAGCTTGGTTATCATGTGGATATGGTCGATTGTGCTCAATCCTTTTCGGAAACCAGCTTGCTCACATGGTTGTTCTTCATCTAGTATTCTACTAATCCTATTCAGGATGACTCGAGTGAACAACTTATAGACGACAGACAATAGGTAGATCAGGCAATAGTTGCCAATGTCGTGGATGTCTCCCTTCTTGTACAGTAGTACAGTTCTGCTGGTTTTCCATTGGGATGGAACCTTGTGTTCAGACAGGTAGTGTGTGAAGAGCCAAGCCAGTGTATTGATGAGTACTGGTGGCAGGTTCTTCAGGTGTTCAGGTCTGACCTTGTCTGAGCCAGGTGCTGTTCGATTCTTTACCAATGAAATGGCATTTCGGATTTTGGAAGGGAGAACTTTAGGAATGACATATCCATCCTGCGGAATTTGATATGTGAGCAGGTGGAAGTGGCTATCAAAGAGACCCGAGTAGAAGTCATGAATAATCTTCTCCATTGCCCTTCTGGAAGATGTGACAGATCCATCAGGACGTCGGAGGGCAATCATCTTGGTCTTGTAGTTAGCAAAGGATAGGCGGGCATTGTGAATGCTTTTCCCAGCTTCTACCGCATCTGCTAGCTCTGCTGCTCTTCTCTATTTGAGGTCTTCCTTTATTGCTTCTGTGCACTGCTTTGCAAGCTCGGACGTTCACTTGCAGTTGCCTGAGGCTTGAGTCAAGCCACGTTGGCGAATGAGCTCGAGAGTTTATGAAGACAGTCATCTTTTTGTGGCTATCTCTCTCTCAGCATTCCTCGCACAATCATGGAGGGTTGTCAACGACAGCATCTTCTCATGTTTCTGCAATAGTGCCAAAGAGCTCCCAGTTGGTGGTTGTTCTGAGAGTTCTCTTCTTAAACTTTTCAGCCCTTTCTCCCCGCTCTGTGAAGTAGAATTTTGCACAAAGGAGACAGCAGTCTGATCCTGTTTGGAATTTTGGGACAACAGCGACATCGGTCAGGTAAAACCGTCGATTGAATATGATGTGGTCTATTTCGTTGTGGAATCGTCCACCAGGAGACTCCCATGTCCAACGTTTAGATTCAGCCTTCTAGAATATTGAGTTACCATGGATGGTCTTGGTCGACATGATGAACTGACAGTCTCTCACCCTGTTCATTCCATTCTAGGCCATGAGACCCAATGTGAAGTTCTTCGGCTGATCTTCTTGGTCCTATCTTGGCATTAAAATCACCCACAATGATCTTGTAGAAGGCATGGTCTTCTTTATAGAACTTCTCCAGCTCCATGTAGAACTTCTCAATTTCTCCTTCATCATAATTGGATGTTGGTGCGTAGACAACAAAGATAAAAACTGCCGGCAATTTCTATCTATTCACATCTATTCAAGTGTAATTGTCAGATCCGGGTTGTTAGCATTTGAATGAATCAATGGCCAAGTTCGTGTTGACAAGGACACCCACACCACCAACACCTCTTTTGTTACATGTTCCGAGGACAAAAGTTCCGAGGAACAGTTCTTCCCCAGTGTCAAAAATGGCATGATGTGACTGACACCTTCTCAATTGAGTCAGACCAATGATGTCATACTTGATCTTTCACGCTTGCACCATCAAGTCCTCAATGGATTCGTCCGATGCCAGCGTACGTGCATTGAAAATACAGACAATCATTTTTGTCCTTCTTCGTTTTGGCAGCCTAGGTCGGCCCTGAGATTTTATGAGCCTCTCCTTCCTCATCTTTCTTAATGTTGCCATATTGGTGGTTCTTCCAGGGTCAGGAGAATGGAACCCATTGTATTTACTGGCTTGGGCATATCGAATACACCACCGGTAGCTTGCCAGGCTCTGCCATGTGGGAATCTCTTATTCACGCGCATTTGCATATAGTGCTACTTTCTTAATAATTACTGACAGATCTCACACATGCATGTAGTTCTTGAGCACCTGGAAAGTCATATACAGAGTCTGTGTTCATAACCATGTGGTACCGGGTCAAACCCATAACCTTGTTTTGTTTTAGTTTTTGTTTTTTGAGGGGGGCACACTCAAGTGCTGCTAAGGCTTACTCCTGGCTAGTACTCAGTGATCACTCCTGAATGTTTATTGGGCTATATGTGGTGCCGGGGACCGAACCAAGATCAACCTCATGCAAGACAAGCATCCTACCTGCTATACTATCTCTCCAGCTCAAATAGACCCATGGTCTTGTACATTCTAGGCATGTGCTCTACACAAACCCATATACTGCTTTTATCTTGAGACCTACCCTTGTTAAGTTGTGGTGTTTCTACACTAACTTTGATACATAACAGATTGAAATCTTTCACCTATGTCTTGCTGGTGGCTAGTGTACCATTTGAACTTGCTCTTTATTTTTACATACCATAATTATTTAATAAAACGACTGAATCAGGTGATACAAAATTTGATGGGAAAAAAACAGTAAAGTTTTAACAGCTTTTATATTAAGACCTCTCATCTGAGGTAAGTACTCTGAACATACAAAAACAAAATTTTAAAAGCTCCTTCATTGGATACTATACAAATACTATATTCTCACTACACACATTATGTGGCAGAAGCAAGGCTCACTGAGTACTGATATCAAAATGTAGACAAATATTACCAGACAAAACAAACCTTGTATACAAGTACATATATTTAAAAAAGAAAAAAAATCCACAAGAACTGAGGGGTACCTGACTCTGCAAAGCAGCAGTTAATGCTATAAACAAAATGCAAGCACATACATATTTTACATATGCATGCACATATACACACATATTGGGATATGAATCTATAACATAATGGAATTAAGTACTAAAGAATGAATAGAAATTTTTTTGCCAGAGATTTTTTTTAAAAAAGACTTTTTAAGTAAATAGAATAGTATTGAACAAAGTGCAGAAAAGGTAAGAAACAGTGTCACTACATATGGGGAACAGATCTGTGTTGTAATCACAGAGCTAGAATGAAGGCAGTGGATGAGTGAATACAATGTTCTTCTATGAAATTTCTAAAATGTGCAAATATCTCAGTACTAAGGATGTGCAGAATAATGCCATTAGGCTCTAGAAACTGTTGGGGCGCTTCTGCCTAAATTAATGCACCCAGTCTGTATATTATTCTAGCTGACATTACGTTTTCTTTTTTCAAAACTCTTTATTGTCTCTATAATCATGTTTCACAATGGCTATCCATGATGCTTATTTGGCATCCTTATAACTTATGGCCTGCAACTTTTGTGGCATACTCTATTAACATACCATTAATACAATAGCACATAAACCCTTAAAATACTAAGCCTCTCATTTCTCTTTTGTGTATCAAATTCTGCTAATAACTAGTAAAGTAAAGGCCCTCCCGTTGATCATCGATTTGCTCGAGCGGGCCCAGTAACATCTCCATTGGAGACTTTGTTGTTACTGTGTCTGGCATATCGAATACTCTCGGTAGCTTGCCGGGCTCTCCAAGAGGGGCGGAGGAATCGAACTCGGGTCGGCCATGTTGGCCGCGTGCAAGGCAGATGCCCTACCCGCTGTGCTATCGCTCCAGCCCTGCTAATAACTAGAAGACAAATAAATTATAGCGCTCCTCAGAGAGTCCACATCCCAATTACACTGTTAATCTTCTCAGTGTGGGCTTTTTGACAACTGTCTCTATTTCCAGGTTTTGGATTTAGATATAAAAGATGTCAGGAAGCTAATGATTACATTATGAAGGTATTGTCATACCTTTTAAAGCTTCTAGGTTAATCACCCAGAAAAATCTGATTCATCCCTAGAAATTTTATAAATTGAATAGATACAGTTGACCAAATTGAATTTTCCATGTGATTACACCTGGCATGCTTAAATAAAATTTCAATTAGGGGCATTTCTAATTTAAAAAAAAATTCTTTAAAACAAACATATTTCCTTACCATATTAGATATTTAATCTTTGCTTAATGTCTCAGAGGCATAAATATCTCTTAATAAATGTCTTTTACTCCATTAACTCTGCTAAGTTCTTTTAATTCCTGAACCCATATCCTATAGTTCTAGATTCATTTTTATAAAAATGATTAGCATGCTACTTATAACAATGCTAGCCTTCTATCGGTGAAAATGATGTGTGCTAAGAGAAAAGTTTACTAAAAGTGTATCAGTCATTTAAAAGTAAATGTAATGGGAAAGATAATGATGTGATGAGAGACACATATAGAAGTATGAAGCTGTGCTCCAAAAATTTATAAAGTGTTGTAAACCAATTATAATCTGTAAAATCTTAATTAAAATATACTAATTTAAGAAGTTCAGACTGAGTGCCTAAAAGATGTCCCGTGAATGAAATACATGGTTTTGTGAATACTAAATCTGAATATTAATAGACTTCTCAGTTTTCTGTAAACTACTGAGGGGAATGAAGTAGCTAGAAATTCCATAAAAGCATTGTAAGCAAAATTTAAAAACAGTCAACTACATATATTTCCTTAATCTTTTATTTTGTTTTGTTTCTTTTTTGTTATCTGTTATGGCCACACCTGGTGGTACTCAATGCTTACTCTTGGCTCTAAGGTCAGGGATCACGCATGGTGGTGCAAAGAGGACCATTTGTGGTATATGGGATAGAATCCAGGTCAGCCACAAGTAAGACAAGTACTCTGTCTGTTATACTATCACTCTGGCTTCAATTTCCTTAATCATTTTAAATCTCACTAACTTCCAAACAGAAAATTGACTTAAAATTAAAATAAATTCCTTACTTCTGGATTTCAAATGTCAACAGCCCTTTCTTTATACAGATACACTGTATATAAGAAATTATCTAATTTGATGTTTATGTTATTCCCACTGTACCAAGTATCCTTACAGTTTAAAAGGAAAGTTCTGGGGCTGGAGCAGTAGCACAGCGGGTAGGGCGTTTGCCTTGCACGCAGCCAACATGGCTGACCCAGGTTTGATTCCCAGCATCCCATATGGTCCCCCGAGCACCGCCAGGAGTAATTCCTGAGTGCATGAGCCAGGAGTAACCCCTGTGCATCTCTGGGTGTGACCCAAAAAGCAAAAAAAAAGTAAAGTTCTTATTTAAATGGCAGGAAGATGAGATCGTCACTTTAATTATGAAAGCTCTTGAAGAAAAGATACTGACTTAATGTTCAAGGAGAAAGACAACTGTCAAAATGCTAAATACATATATTTATATATATAATGTGATTACATACAGGAATTATGTAAGGAATTATAAGGAATTATAATTGCCTTATAGAAATGTCAAAATTTCTATCTTCCCTAGTACAAAAAGTTTTGTTATTTTATAAGTTTTGTAAAAAGGAAGGAAGAAGAGAAAGAAAGCAAGAAAGCAAGAAAGAAAGAAAGAAAGAAAGAGCCCAAAATATGTTTCCTCTGTGTTTAGAATACTCCAGTGACTTTCAAAAAAAAAAAAGCAGCTATATTTAGAAAACTTTTCTAACCTAAAAATGATCAACATTTTCCTCACTGGCTCCCAACTCCAACTTTACCTAGGTAGCAGCCCACACACTACTTCTGGGAGATGCACCATTAATGATGTGTCATTCTGTCACTTCCCTCAGGTTCAGAGAGTCAAAACAAGATTGAAAGAATGGTAAATCTGAGTCTCATACTGTCTATTTTCCCAAATAATGATAATAGCAGTTCACAGTCCAAGTTCTTTTTCTATTTAAGAACAACATTACCTAAAGAATTTACATACACTCATTTAAAAACACTAACTATAAAATAATGAAGATGTAACCTACAAATGCTAAAATACATTTCGCTATGTATTTCAAATTTCATGGCACAATTTATATACAAATATTACCTTAAATTTTCATATCTGTTTACAAATTCACAAAAAGGGGGGGGGGGGTGCAAACAGAGAAATTAAGCCAGCTTCCCAAGCACCTCTCTTCTTTATTGAGCCTTTTATAAAGCATGCATAATTAAAGCAATCCATATCTCCTTGTAGCAAGAAAGCTAAGCAACACCAAGGCTAGGAAAAACACAGCTATTTTAAGCAACCCATAACCAAGCTGCAAAAACAAAATATACAAGACCCACAGTAACACTGGAGTCATTAAGAAGTTCCTGTCCTCTTGTTTCATTTCCAGCATGTACTTTCTGGTAATGCTCCGACAAATCAATAGAGGTTATACATCGTTTCATACATAATGGACAGATGAAACCCTGTGAAATAACAACTTTTATAATGATATATGTAAGAAGTATTCATATAACAAAACAAACACAAAAATAGATATAACAGGAAAATGAGGAGTAGATTCTTTTTATGTGAAATAATTTTTTAAAGTAATAACCACATAAAATAAAGGATCTATAGGAAGGATAGTTACATAAAAATAAGGGGGAAATTTCAAGTAAAGCTGTAACAACTTTTATAAAATTAGTTCTCATCTTTATGCTGTAAATTCCCATTGTCTTATTATGTAAAAAGTAGTTATAGCTTTGTTTTAAATTATTATTTTTATCTATAACACTGTCCTTACTTATCTGAGCACTATCATTATCAAGTTTTTATTTCTAATCAATAAATGATTGGCAGACAGGCTTGGACAAGCATCATCCATGAGTGAATCTGCTATGTAACCGTATTTTTAATTTAAGAATTGTGGAGTGCATGGCCACATTCATAGCCATACAAAATTTCATATTTTACACCACTTATCTACCAAGAGTAGCACACAGCATTTGATGGGGTTTATCAGGGAGAATATATGCATATATATGCACACAAGGCTCAACCTTTAATATGTTAGTAATCTCTTATAGAAGGGCTTAATGATTCAAGGGTGAAATAAAATAATCTTCACACACTTTTATCTAAGGAGAATTTTTTGAATAATTTCTAGCAGATTATTCATAACAAGCAATACAAAATAAATTATTTCAGTTCTGCTTTGAGCACAGTTTGGGGCTTGGATGGAAATATTCAAAATATGGTGATGGAAAAGTGTAATGGTGGTAGGACTGATTGGTGTTTGAATATTAAATGTAATAACTTATTGTGAACAACTTTATAAAAATAAGATAAAATTTAAAAAAAAAAGAAAAGAAAAAGTAAAATAAAATATACAATCGATTCAAAAATAAATCAATAAACAAATGATTGGCAGATACAATACCTTTAATGATGGTCTCATCCAAAATAAAGGTCTTAAAACAAAAGCAAGAGCTTATTCTTATCCATATCCAAAACTCCCAAAAGGTGACCATATAACTACTTTCCTGAGTCAAATAAAATCTCTTACAAACTGGGCTTGGGAGCCAGAATTGATAGTACAGGAGGCAAGGCACTTGCTTTGCATGCAGTCTTTTGACCAATTGGTTCCATTCATAAGACTGCATAAAACCCCTAAAGCACAAATCAGAAATAGTCCCTAAGTACCTGAGGATGTGCCTCAAACTCTGCTCCAAAGAAAAACTGGGCTCTATACCTGATGTCATATACACACACACATACACACACACACAATTTTAACTTAAAACAAAATTACTTTAAAAAATTCTATACCCATGGTCCAAAGAATTACTATAGGAGGTAACACACTTACATTACATGTGGCAAATCCAGGTTCAAATCTCCAGCACCAAGTATTCCCAGGAGTCACCCCATCCCTGAGCACAGCACCAGGAATATTCCCTGAGCACCATTCAGTGTGACCCCAGACCACTTCATACAAAATAAAATTAAAAATTAAAAATCCTATACCTGACAATATATTTTAAAATGTGGGCTGTTATAATGGCTTGGGAAGCTCTTAATTAGTAATGGCAGAAGAATAAGGGAACAGAGGAATAAGACCATCAGGGAGAAAATAAGAAAACATTTTATAAAGTTTATAATGTCATGAGTTTGGCGTCAGAAGCTGATGTAGATTTGAATTTTAACCAGTGTTAACTATGGAATCCCAAGAAAATCACTTTACTCTGCTAAATGTTTCTTCAATTTTGTAAAATGGGGCTTAGTAGAGTACCTGAGACATTACAGGTAGTCAACAAATATTAACTGATTCATGTACAATTACAGAAAAAAAGAGAAACTAAAGGGCTAGAGCAGTTGTACAGTGAGTGTGAAGTTTGCCTTGAACACAGCCAAGCCAGGTTCAATCTCTGGTATTCCATAGGGTTCCCTGAGTCTGCCAGAAGTGACCCCTGACCAGAGACCCAGGATTAATCCCTGCTCACAGCTGGGTGTGGCCCAAAAACCAAAAAAGAAACAAAATGGTTTGAGAAAGAATTCTTTGACAAGGACAAGCAATTGTGGTAGGAAATAGGCATACATAGGCAGTTTTGGGTAAAACTATTCTGCCTGATTATTTATTACTATCATTATTATCATTATTATAATTGTAGTTTAGGTAACATGTTTACAATAATATTAACATTTACGATCTTGAGGTACAGTTTCTATACCATACTACCATCAAAATGCTCAAGACCCTCCATCAATGTTTTAATATTACATCTAGTCCACCTCATCCTTCCCCCATCCCCTTCTTGGTAATCTTAGTTTTATAATCCAAAGCAAAGGTTTTGGCATCATTCAATGACAATTCCCTTGTTTTATTTCTCTTTATACCACAGGTAAATGAGGTCATAGATATTTGTCCTTCTCCTTCTGACTTAAAATGAGAGCCTTCAGTTCCAATCAAACTGCAGTGAACTGGAGTATTTCACCTTTTCTTATAGTCCAAGAATAACACTTTAGGGTCAGAGATACAGTACAATAGATAAGATGCTTCCATGTATGCAGTCAACCCGAGTTCAATTCCTGGTACCACATATGGTCCTCTAAGTACTGAGCTCCACCAGGAGTATCCCATGGGCACATGATCAGAAGTGCCTTTGAGCACTGCCAAGTATGACACCACCACCACCGTCCCACAAAAATAAGAAAGTTCAAAGGGATGGAATGCTTATTCACATGCTGAAGCCATGGATTTGTTCTCAGAACATGGTCCCTGAGCTCTGTCAAGAGAAGCCCCACCGCAAGGTATGGGCCTGATGACTTCACTGACAAGCCCTACCCACAAGAATCCTGCCTGTTTTTTTTTTTTTTTCAACATGTCAGGCATGAGCCACCTCACAGGCTCTTGACTTGCTCCACATGCCTGGAACAAGCCTGTGCCAGAAATTCAATGACTCATTTCCTGACTTCCTTCCTTTGAGCTATCCCCTTCTCAAGTTGGCCCTGACAATCCTACTTGGGTACTGCAACTACCCAAAACACTCTAAGACCCCTACCCTGTTTTTTCTCATTAATTTTAATTGTGGGGCTATGAACATATTTTTTTTACCTAACATTCTACTCAACAGAATAAAAGCTCCACTAAAATAAAGAGTTTTTTCATTCTTTTACTCAGCTCAGTGAGCCTAAACAATACCACAGAAGGCTCAACTAGCTCTAACCAGTAGAGTAGTCCCTCAGACAATGACTTTAGTAATATCACTGTGAGATACTATTATCACAAATTTACAACTATCAATCTAAGGTTTGATAATTTCATTTGTCTTTGTGTTGTAACAAACAATATGAAGTAAATCTGTTTGAGTCTGCAAGGGGGCAATCTGTAGTGGTGGAGGAACCTGAAGAGACTGGTGGAGGGACAGCCATACAGTTAGTGGGATAAATGGTGGTGCTGGTGTTGGAATATCCAAGACCTGGAACAACTGTATTATGTACAACTTGGTAAATCATGGTGCCATAGGAAAAAAAAAATGGATGTAAGCGTAAATGGGTAATAGTGTGACTTAAGAAGTACCCACTGGAAGGGATGAAAATGATTAAACCCTTAAGCACATTACATATTAAAAAAAAGTATCCAATATGTATTATATTACATTATAATAAACACACTTCCTAACATACTAGACCTGAATTAGACTCACCACACAAAAAAAAAATCTTGTTTATAAAAGGTGTTACCATTACAATGGCAGTATTACAATACAAAACTATACAAAATCGACAGTATATTCCTTAAATTTATTCAGTCACATGTTATATGTTATGTTAAATATATTTAAATATTTTTTAAAAGGAGGTGATAATTGAATTGAAATTCAGAAGTTCTTAAAAAACTTGATGTGGGAAGACCTCTCCAGCCATGCGAGAGAGCTCCACTTCTGTCAATAATAAGCCCAGTGGACCTCGAAGTCAGCAGGGTCACACCCTGGTGATGCTCAGAGACTACCAAGCCTAAAGCTGAGGATGCTTATAGGGCATGAGGTGTCAGGATAGAATCCATGGCTTTGTTCATGCTGGGAAAATGCTCCAACCCTTAGAACTATCTCTATACCCTTTTATTTATTTTTCATTTTTATTTTTTCAAAAGGGCCCGTCCCTTAAAAAGCGAAAGTCTGACAACATTCCAAGTATAGAAGACATGTAAAAGGGTCTTTTTGTTAAAGGAATAAAATAAATGATAGAGCTGCCAAAGTGAACAATCAGGAAAGTAAAAAATAAAATTTGGCAGATAGGCATAAGAATTATGTATGATCTTGAAAAGGAAAATAAGATATATTTTAATTTATTTTGTTCAACAAGAAGTCAATGAATATTTCTTATCTAGGAAGAGAACTGATTTGATTCTATTTCTGGCTACTCTTTGGAGAACTATAAAGTAACATTGTAGAAGATCTTACAGTTTAGGTAAGCAATGGTGTTGGCAGTAGAAATGAAAAGAACAGTATAAATAAGGATGGGAACCATATGAGAAGGAATTATACATGTAGGGAATATGACAAATGAGGAAAATGAAAAAAATTTTCTCCTAAGTACCAAGTTTCAGCATCAGAGAGTTTTCTATAAGATAGCTGAAAGGGGCTGGAGCGATAGCACAGCAGGTAGGGCATTTGCCTTGCACACAGCCGACCCGGGTTCGATTCCCAGCATCCCATATGGTCCCCTGAGCACCGCCAAGAGTAATTCCTGAGTGCAAAGCCGGGAGTAACCCCTGTGCATCGCCGGGTGTGACCCATAAAAGCAGAAAAAAAAGTCCAAAAAAAAAGATAGCTGAAAGAAATCATGTTGAACAGTAGAGCAGGAATAGGGGACAGGAAAAAATTTATTAATTTATTTGAAGACATTAAATTTAAAATAGACATTAAATTTAAAACATACACTAAAGATCTAAGATTCCATGTGTATCTAGATAGAAATGAATAAATTAAATTCCATGGAGAAAATAAAAAATGGACCAAAATTCAATAAAAGGGCAAAGAAGCAAACGCTTAAGAATTAACAGTCAAAGTCATTTCTTTGAAAACTTAAAAAACTTCCAGGTCAGAGAAATAGCTTCAAATGGCTGAGCAAATGCCAAGCACACAGGAAGCCCAGGTTTGATCCTGGCACAGTATGGTGACCCCAGCACCACCTGGAGCAACTCCTAAGGCACAGAGCCCCGAGTTGAGGAGGAGGAGAAAGAAGAAAAGGAGGAAAAAGAGGAAGAGGAGGAGGATGGAGAAAGACAGGAAGAAAGAGGAAAGAAAGCTATAAACCTATTGTTTCTCATAACCAAATGCAAAATTCCTCAACAAAAATTAGTAATAAATCAAATCCAATAATAAATAAAACAGTATTAATAATACATGCTGACCAAGCAAAGCACATATACACGAATTCTTCATTTCTTTCTCTGAAGAATCTTATAGATGCCTCCACTAATAACCTAATCTGTTATAGCTAATAAATGATGCCAGGTCTTAAAAGTATACAAAGTACTTTTGTACTTCTAGATCATATAAAAAACTGGTAAACCAGAAAAATGAAGTATTATTTTACTAGTATTAAAAAATACACACAAAAATAGTAAAGAATAAATTTGGCATATTTGGGGAGGGATGGGCTAGATAACCTAGCACTACTAAAAACATAAATACATAAAAGAAAAATATTCTATTCTAAAAATTCTAAGTAGTTTTGGGAGGGGGTGGAGAATACATGAGAATTTTGCACTGAGTAACTGTAAAACAATGATGAGCTAAATGAGAGTTAATCCATGTGCAAGGAGTAGACAATATTAAGATAGCCTCTTTCGGAGTCTGAGAGACAGTACAACAGGTAAAGCATTTGCTTCACAAGTGGCCAAGCTGAATTCAACCCCCCGCATCACATATGGTTTCCCCAAACACCACCAGGAATGATCCCTGAGCACCACCAGGTATGGTCCAGAACCCCAACTTTTCCCTTAAAAATAAAAATTTAAAAAAAATAGTATCTCTCCCCTAAATTAAGCTATAGGTTACACTGGGTACTAATTAAAATTCAAGAACTTTTCTTAATTTTGGGGAGGGGGTAGAGGGCTGGCCACACCCAGCAGTGCTCAGGAATTACTCCTATCTCTGCACCTCAGAAATCACTCCTGATGGGCTCAAGGTACCATATGGGGTACCAGGAAGCAAACACAGGTTGACCATGTGCAAGGCAAGTGCCCTACCGACTATATCATTGCTTAGCCCCTAACTTTTCTAAAGTTTTTATAGAAATTTCAAGCACTTATGACAGTAAAAGCAGATTTTAAAAATAACAAAATTGGAAGATTTCTACTACCTGGCATCAAGATTTAACTATGAATTAAATTATAGTAATCAGCAGTATATAAACATAGAAAAATAAAACACAATAGCAAACATACAGTCAACTGATTCCCCACAAAAATGAAAATCTAATTCAATAAAAAGAGGTAACATTTTTAACAAATGGCACCCAAAAATTGTATGAAAAAGTGATTTATAGATCCACATGAAAAAGTGAAAGTCAGTCACTAACTCATATCATGAATAAAAACTTAAATCATATATAACCTAAAGTTAGGGCGTAGGGGTGTTGTTGTGGTCCATACCTGGTTATGTTTCAAACTTACTCCTGGCTCTGTATTCAGAGATTACTCCTAGCAAGCTCCGGAAACCATATGGAGTGTTGCAAGTGCCCTATCACTGTAATACTGCTCCAGTTCCATAAAATGATTTTTTTTAATATATTGGAGGAAATCATGTCAAAAAGACTTCTTAATCATGGAACAGGCGGGACCAGAGTTTTAGTACAGAGGGTAAGGCATTTGCTTTGCATGTGGCCAACTTGGGTTCTATCCCCGACCTCCCATATGGTCCCCTGAGGACCGCCAGGAATAATTCCTGAGTGCAGGGCCAGGACCCAACCACTGAGCATCACAGGGTGTGACCCAAAAAGCGGGAAAAAAAAATCCATGGAATGGGCAAAAAAAGAAAATTGCATACACATAAAAACATTAACCATAAACGAGAAGGCAAACAATATAGACCATCAAAAAAATAAATACTACTTCTATTTGAAAAAGGTCATTAGAAACATGAAAAAGTAAGCTACAGAGAGAAAAATAAATGCTTCACAAGTATCTGACTGTAGGTGAGGACTAAAATTAAGATCCAATACTGAAATAACTGGTGACATTGAGAGGACTTCAAATGGCCTACCATACATGTATGAGCAGAGTGAGGAATGGAACTTCAATCAGATTTCCATTTGAAGCTTCCATTTGAAGTTCCACTCTCCACACTGCTCATACAGACACAGATCTCCAAAAAAAGCCCCATTTCACAGAGAAGAACTGAGGACTGTTGAGAATAATTCATAACATCAGTTAAAACTAAAGTATGAAAAGAGGGATAGGGCAAGCTACTAATGTGTGAGAGAGTGAAACAGCATAAGAGAAAAGATTGAAATTCAATAGGAAAAGGGGTCTACCTGTCCTCAGTGCACTCGTTTAAAAAAAATAAAAGAATATAGGTGCATTTAGTATAGCTGTGGTGACAAAATAAGAACATCTACCTATCTGATTGTTGACATTTTCACAATAACATAGAAGGTAACCAAAGAAAAATAAGAATAGACTAAGACACATAGAGCTTTTCAGAAGAGTGCAATTTTCTCAGAGTTGGAAAATTATTCTAATGAGAAAACAAAACAACATTGAAAGGCACAGTTCACTACCTATTGTAGAGTGTCTGGAGTTAACTGGATATATATGTACACACACATACACACACACACACACACACATATATGCATATTTGGTTTGACTGAGATGAACAAGGATTACTAAACTCTCTTTTCAAGGTTATAGCTGAGCGTTTTGAATTCATAATGTCATGAAGAGAGTTTGGCATATTTTTCCCTACATGAGCTCTAATGACATTTAACTGATAACTTTTCTTTTTCTCTTACAATATTATAAAAGTTCATTATAGTTAATATACTATACATAATACATGAAGATAGATGAAGGAAGTATAAAGTTAGAACTAGAGAATATAAAGGGATGACTAGATAAAAGGAGACACATACCTAGAAATACTAGCAAGCAAGACAAGACTCAATGATAGAATTGTAGAAGAGCAGAGGAAAGAAGACTGTGCCAGTGGCAGAGTTGGACCAGAAAGTGGAAATTGACAAAAATTGCAGGAAAAATGTTTTATCTCTTAGGGAAATGATTACAGATGGTTTCTGTGCTCTTTTTCTTTATTTCATTTTGAATAATAAATATTGTTTAAAATATTTAATATGTTAATAGTAACACTACGAAGGCTGACTTCTCAAAATATGGGGGCTATATTTTTTAGGCTTTTTTTAATTAATTTAATGGACTCTCAAAGGTGAAAGCCTTTAATAAGTTCATAGAGGAAGAAAGTAATTACATAATTTTAATTTAATTTTTCACTAGCTCAGTAATTTATAACAGTATAAACACATAATTCGCTATTTAAAAAAACACTGAAATTTTTTGTCTGCATGATTTTCGCCACAGTTGGCAATGCTCAGGGCTTACTCCTGACTCAATGCTCAGGGGTTATTCCTGGTGACACCACAAAAACAATATGGATCAAACTTGGGTTAGCCACGTGCAAGGCAAGTGCACTACCTGCTATACTATGTCTCCAGCCCCAAGAGTGAGTATTTTATTCAGAGATTAAAAGCTTTTCATTAAAATACTATTAGTGTTAAGGAAAAACTGGCAATATTATTTTTCAGTGTAAATACATATTTGCTGTCTGACATCGAAGCATCAGTATATTAAGGTATTAGTCAAAGGTTGCACAAAAATTTGCAAGAAAGATTTATGAGAACTTTTCTAACAAACATTTAAATACAAATCTTTACTGCCAAATTAATTTCATACCTCTGAAGAGCTTTCATTATTGACCTCCACCGCATTTATAGGAGCTGCTGATGAATCTAAATCAGAACCTTGAGAGCCAACTCTCCCAGGAGTCTGAAATGGAAAGAAGAAAAAAAAATCAGCATATATACTAACATTTACTCATTCATAAACTATCTAATAATCTAAACAGTAAGAGGAGTCCTCCAACACATATAAGCAGGTGTCATCTCAATAATATACAAAGCTATCCTTCACTAAAGACTGAGTCTAACAAACTATGTAGCACTGTGCTGTAGTACTGTCCTCCCGTTGTTCATCAATTTGTTTGAGCGGGCACCAGTAATGTCTCCATTGTGAGACTTGTTGTTACTGGGTTTTTTTTTTTTTGGCATATTAAATACGTCATGTGTAGCTTGCCAGGCTTTGCTGTGCAGGCATAATACTCTCGGTAGCTTGCCGGGCTCACCAAGAGGTGCGAAGGAATCGAACCCAGGTCAGCTATATGCAAGGCAAACACCCTACCCACTATGCTATCGCTCTGGCCCAACAAACTATATGCATTATTTTATATTTAAGTTAATAATTTCCTTTTGTATACAATACAACTCATTTCATTAAACATTTTATTTAATCATAATATTTCTGAGATAGGCAGGACAAATACTTCTACAGATGAGCAAACATATTCAAAGCAGCTAGTAACATCTTAAGATTGTGCTGTTAATGAAAATCAGAAAGCACCTAAACTAAAAAGCTAATCTTTTCATTCTTCTTATATTTCTCTGTACTTCTAAACTTCAATGATTTGACCGGTATTAAAATAACCCAAAAATATTCAAATAATTTAACTACTCATCCATCATTCATTCTAGTAACTACCAATCTCTCTCTAATACTTGACATTCCATTATCAAAGATACAGTTCAGAGGGTTAAAGATATTTTACCCTCCAACATTCATCATCTAACATTGTCATTAATAAACACTTAGTGTTACCTTGAAGAAACTGGGAACCTAATTAAAAGTTGGAGAAAAGACTAAAAGTACAAGAGTGTCTCAATATTCAAAAAAAAAAACACTTTTAGAACATATTATCATAACTCCCACTTTAGAAAAAGAGAGAGCCAAAATAAAGAGACTAGTTTTTGCCTTATGGTAGTAGGACTCTTAATCACTAACCATACCATTTCTTGGCTGGATAAGTCCATCATAAGGTACCTTGAGAACCCAAGACCAAGAACAGTTCACTACATACTTATAAATGTCTCCACCAGAACATCCTATATATCCTGTATTAAATAATTAGTATAAGGGTCAAAGGGCTGGAATAGACACTTTAAAAGGAAGAGTCCCAGGTTCAATTTCCAACACCACTAGGAAAAATCCCTGAGTACCAGATGTGCCCCCAAACGCCCTGGGGGAAAAAAAAAACACTACAAAAATTGATACGCCAAATCAGGACAAATTAGTATTGTTTTGAAATTTATCAACTAAATCAGGTATGTCACTGTCACTGTCCTCCCGTTGTTCATCGATTGCTCAAGCAGGCCCAGTAACGTCTCCATTGGAGACTTTGTTGTTACTGTGTTTGGCATATTGATTACATCATGGGTAGCTTGCCAGGCTCTGCTGTGCGGGTGAGATACTCTCGGTAGCTTGCCGGGCTCTCCGAGAGGGGCAGAGGAATCGAACTCAGGTCGGCCATGTTGGCTGCGTGCAAGGCAAACGCCCTACCGCTGTGCTATCACTCCAGCCCAAATCAGGTATGAAAACTACAAAATTAATATATATAATGATTATAATTAGATATAAAACACTCACATAAGATTAAAAGATAGTATTCAAAAATGCAAATAATTATTTACAACAAGCCTAGGGCAGCTAAGAACTAAACTACTCTAAACAGTACTTTTCTTTGGAAAACAAGCTTTATGGATAGTTACTCCCATCAAGCTGGTTCCGTGCAACAGACATTTCTTGACAACCAGTTGTACTACAGGGATGACAGGTGCCAAAATTTCAAAGCTAAGAGTTGGTTAGCAACTATTTCCCCATTAAACATCAAAGATAGGTATCTACACACTTCACTGACAAAAGGTTTAATCTACTACAAAATTCACTTGATTCCTTAGACTGTATCATGAATACCAGATTATACATAGTTTAAAATGATCATAAAAATAAACCAGCAGAAAACTTAACTAGGTCTGCTCTAGTGGCTAACATAGATCAGTATCACACTTCAAAGAAATCTTATCTTCTTCTTAAGTAGTTACGTCATTCCACATAGGTTTGTTTCTGTTTATACAGAGAGAGATTTTAACAAAAATAAAGAGAAAAGTCATAGAAAATATAGGAGGGAACGAAGACCAAGTAGAGAGAGCGAGGCAGGTGCTCCTGTGGTTCAGTTCACTTCCATGCAAGATGTGTCATCATACCCCTCAAGTACTACATCTTCAGTGACAGAGATGGTGGCCTCATCTTCAGTAGGGTCATCTTCATCAATACCAAGACCAAATTTCAGTATCCTGTAGGTTCTATTGGCGTGGATCTGGGAGTCTTACAGGCTAAAGCCGGAGGACAGGAGTGTGGTCTTTAGAGGAAACCATCTGATCTTTATACCAGATCCTTCACAGACTTGTTATTCTTGTCAGATCTCAATAATGGACCAGTCAGATTTGATTTCCAGGTGCTTTTTTGCTGCCATGTAACACATTGTGGAGTTACCTCTCAGGGCTTGAACCTTCGTGATTCGTTCCACATCCACCATCCAGCCGTCCTTGCTTTTGACAATGCAGTTATGGGGACACCACCAGTGTGTCCACTTTTTCCTCCAAGATGTTCATAATGATTTTGCGAGATTTTCAAATTTTGGAGATCTCAGCCCCAATTTGGGCCAAGCATCCTCCACCCAGATCCTTCAAATTCCAGTAGGGGGGGGTCACACCCACCAACTGGCCCCCTGGCGCCGTGTAATCCCATCAACGGCCAAGACTCAGACACTATAAAAACCAGCTCCTGGAAGAGAGCAGTGCAGTCTCCTGCCCCCGGGCCTGACTGTCCTCACTGCCGGGGCCCCTTGGAGGGGAGCGGGTTGAGCTCTCCTCCCCGCCCCGACCAGGACTCCAGCAGCCAAAGACCTCCAGGACCAGCCACCACCACGCTGAGGCCACTCTCCACACACATGAAGGTACTAGCAGAGGGACAAAGTCATGCGGGTTCCGGGGCCGAGATCTCCAAGCCTATTCGGATTTGGGCCAAGCATCCTCCACCCAGATCCTCCAAATTCCAGTAGGCGGGGGTCACACCCACCAACTGGCCCCCTGGCGCCGTGTAATCCCATCAACGGCCAAGACTCAGAGACTATAAAAACCAGCTCCCGGAACCTATATCCTATTATGACATCTTATTATCTCATTCCTATTTTAGCCTGCCCACATGGCAGAGTCTGGCAAACTCCCCATGGCGTACCCAATATGCCAAATACCAGTACCAATGATGAGTCTCATTCTCCTAAAGAGCCTTGAATATAATCTCAGGGCTAGGAATAAGGAGACGTTACTGGGGCCTGCTCAAGGCAATGGACGATTAATAGGATGATTTGTGATTGTGATTCAAATTTTGACTTTTTCCCCTCCTATACCTTTTTCTTCTGGAACTTTCAAGCACTCTTTGGTGACAGACACCAAGGTCTTACCCTCAAACTCCTACAGCTGTTTGACACAGTACTCATCAATGGGCTTAATCATACAGACCACTTCTAAACCATGCTTCTGGAGTGATAGCACAGCACATAGGACGTTTGCCTTGCACACAGCGCACCCTGCCAACCCAGGTTCGATTCCTCCGCCCCTCTCAGAGAGCCCGGAAAGCTACTGAGAGTATCTCGCCTGCATGGCAAAGTCTGGCAAGCTACCCATGACGTATTCGATATGCCAAACACAGTAACAAGTGTCACAATGGAGACATTACTGGGCCTGCTTGAGCAAATCGATGAACAACTAAAGGACAGTGATGGTGACAATGTTGGCGACTGGGCTCTTACTTTCACCTGTGATATAATAGATATGTTTCTGGTTTTTCTTCATTCTTGTGCAATAGTCCTTGAGAGAAACCACCTTATCACCAAAAGCAGATGTGTAGTATTTTAACAGCTCTGAAAGTTTCTTCTGACTCGGAATCTTCATGGATTCCAAGCTTAATATTTTTAGAGATGTGCTCATAAAACTTTTTGTAGTTTTCTTTATCTTCTGCAGTTCTGTGAAAAGTTCTAGGCATTTTTAACCAATTTCTAATGACTTTCAAAATTTTGCCCTTTTGCTGAATCTCCCAGGACATATTTAAAGGGAGATCCTCAGAGTCCATTACACCTCTAATGAAATTTCAGATATTCAGGGATAAATTCTCAGTTATCCAGGATGAAAACTGCAAACATACAACTTAACATTCTTTTTCTTTATGTTTTCAAAAAGGTTTAAGGGAGCACATCTTGGTACAAAAAGAAGGGTGCTGAATTTCAACTGTCCTTCACCTGAAAAGTGCTTCATTGCCAAGTGTTCTTCCCAGTTGTTGGTCAGGCTCTTGTATAACTTCCTGTATTCCTCATTAGTGACATCATGTAGACTGCTGGTCCAAACAGTCTTCATTTAATTCAGTTCTTCTTATCAATGTTCTTGATATTCACCTTTTTCTTCTTATCATCACCCTTCTTTTATTCTTCCTCTTAATCAGAATCAACATCTACCTCAGACTTGTCATCTAACTCCTCTTCTTCTCCTCTTCTTTGTCTTGCTTCTCCTCAGCTTCATCACTGACTTCTTTATTATGTTCCTTCTCTAAAAAGACAGTAATAGGGTAGCTTATTGAACTGGGAGTTTTTCTTCACAATCTCCTTTATTCTTTCCTCCAGATACTCAGTCTGGTCCTCTTTCAGCTCTATAATAGCCTTTATACCCTGAGCCATAGGCTCACCACTATCAGTCCAGACCATACGAAATCACCACAGAGGACTCATAGGTATACTGTTCATCATCACTATACTCGGTAATAACCGTCACCTTCTCTGCCACCAAGTAGATCAAATAAAATCCGAATCTAAACTGGCCAGTCAT